CATTACACACACAAGTGTACATAATATCATACTATCTGCGGTGTTGGAATACAACTGTATAGTAGATACGCACATCGCTCTGACGCAACGGCCCATAATCTGCGCGCGTTTTACGTTTACAAAGCCGGAATTATGATTATAGCGTTGACCTAGTTGTGTGTTTTACCTGTACGGGAAATAATATAGTGTTTGTGTTTCACTCAGTTTCAGAAACGTCGTATAATAATGACTATAGTCGACCATACCGACTCGACGACATAAAAAAATAATAATAAAATATAATAATACTGCTTAATGAGTCTCGTCTCGTGTATCTGATAAATCGGACGGCGGCGTCGAAAATAACGGACGATCGTCAATACCTATAATATAGATATAATAGTACTGTTGTATCTAGGTATGGATAATATATTATATTAATAATAACAACAACAACACGCATAGACGGTTATACAGAGTGATTCACTAATCATGCTCGTCTGATTTTTGGAATTTTAAAGTGTAGATACTTGAAGACTGTATTTTAAAATTGTTCAAACTACTTATGAAGCGAATACAAACTTCTGTTAATCAAATAAGAATCCTTTTTTACGATAGGTAATTTATCAAGTGGATAATTTTTCCAAAACGTTGACATATCAAAATTAAAATTTAAACGAGTTTGGTAGATATGGAGTACCTAGTCTAAGGTAATTTGAAAATTATACTAATTTATATTAATTTATCAATATTTATAATTTATAAAAATAGTCCAAGCATAATAATTATAAAATATAACGCTGTATCTATTTTATATTTTGTAAAACAATTTTAATAACTGAAAAACTACTTGTTTGCATATTAAATTAGGTAGATAAAACAAAATTTTTGAAAAAATTATTCATTTAACAATTTACAGTAAAAAAGGATTCTTATTTGATAAACAGAAGTTTGTATTACCACAGGATACTCCTTAACAGTGGTACAAACGATCTCAAGACTTTGAAAACATGGTCTCTGGGCAGATATACTTAAACATTCCAAAACTCAGATTCTATATGACTGTATTGAAGAAAAAAGAAGGTGAGCATAATTGGTTTATCACCCTGTACATATTTATAGGTACGTTCTGTCTGCTGCACATATACAAATTACACTATTTAAGTACATTAGTATAATACTATAAATATACATTATATTACTACCTATTGTTATACGTATGGTTTCCATAATGGTTACCAGTTACGCGCTATAACAATAATGTGATCAATTTGTAATAATAGTACACAACATATTAAGTATCACTATCGTATATACACACGCCGGTGCTGTATTATAGCGGCAAGGTCTTGGGTTTGCAGAGCGAATTTTCATCGGTTTATCCATGTACTATACTCGTGATAATATATTATTGCTATAGGTTTAATATATATTCATACGATGTACCTATTATATTATTGTAATGCACATAATATGATGTTGGTACCTACTTCATTACATTACCTAGCCCGTCGTTTATTATTATTATATTATATATACTAATAAACCATATAGTGCGCCTATGTCGGCTATTTATTGTGATTATATGTTTCGATTGTTAGATGCACTTAAAATTATATCTAAAATACATGTTTCTTAGATGGTTTTGTCCAGATATATAACGGTTTTGTACCAACACATTACATTGTAGAATACACACTTATAAGTTAAAATAAAACGTGACATTGACAGACGGGCACGAGTACGGTATTAAATATTAATGTATTATTTGAGTAGTTTAAGACCTCAGTATTCATATGGAATCACTAAACTACTAACCCGTTATTTTCTAAACGTATTACTCCTTATAGTATCTTTGCCTAGGTTATGTAGGAAATTCATACTATGATTTGTTGGTTAACTGTGAGAATTTTGAATTTTTAAAATTTATACGAAACATATTAAACTACAAATTGACTTGGACATTCAAATATTTTACAGAAAAAAAAGACTGTTTCCGTTCAGCATTAATATGCGTGATTACAAAGGTATACAGTTTTAATATGTATTATTTTTAATAAGGGAGATCTTTTTTTTGGTACACAAATAAATTAATTTAGACATGAACAAAATTATTTTTATATAAACACTTATAGTTAATAATTTAACATTGACTTAATATAATATACGTCACTTGATAATTTATTACACCTTTTTTATTATACAGGAATAAAAAATAATTTGTATACTTCGAATAACAATAACATTTTGTATTCAACGAACATAAATTAAAATCAGGTGCGAGCTGTGTCAGAAGATACTTATAGTTAGGCACTTAGTTTGAATTTGAAATACTTACAAACAGTCGCATTTTCCACATGATGTTATGCCGTTATAAATCATGATACCTATCTACGTACAATATAATTACCATCGATATACCTAAGTATTGTCTAAACACTTTAAACAAATAATTTATATAGGTATAACTGATATGAGTGTATAACCATACAGGTATTATAGGTATTCTTTCAGAATAAATTAGAATTTTGTTTCCTTAAAAAGTTATTCGTTCGTGTAAACACGATACTTGCACTCTACAGCCCACAGTACTCTAATATGTGGCAGATATGTACGAACAAAACTACATTACTACATTAGTCACTGCAACGTGGTTTCTCTTGCTTTCACGTGGATCGCGAACAAAACGAATAATAAAAATGTACATGTATAAATGGATAGAATTGACGCGTGAAATTTTATATAATCTATACGCGCGTCCTTCCATATAACAGCGTTAACCAGCCAAAGACCGTTGCGGTTCAAAGTCACGAATTTTTTTTTTTTATTATATACGATTAAAACGTCTATCAATAGTTCGACTTCCTCGTACACTTGACGCATTACAATTGTAAGGAACTGTAACAAACTGTTTCACGTATTTGGAAAATAAGTGGAATAAAATAAATATTTACTTTTTTTTTGAAATGACACGGTTATTTATTTAAATTTAGTAGACGTAATGTTAATACGTATTTTATACAATAGTAATTGAACGATTAAATACGTAAAACAAAAGAAAAATAAATACGAACTGAATGCTGACTTCTAAAAATCTTAATTCAAAACTGAATTTAATTTAATATGTCTAGCCGTAGTTATTTAAATTAAATCACTCTGTGAGTGAATATACGATTAAATTACAATATGAATGTGCCTTCTATATTGGCTACAAGTTAAATCGACTTTATAATACCATAGAGATTAAATTCTGTTTTTAAAAGGATCAACATTGCTTTTATCTAATAAATTTATAGATTAATGTTCTAGAAAATCTAAAAACATTGCATGCTTTAGATACCTACATTTATTAAAACTTAATCAATATTAAAAGTTGATAAATTGCTTAAAACATATTTTATAATATAATTTTAAAACCATGGTTACTTTCATTTCACAAATATTTCAATGGAATTTAAATATATATATATTTTTAAATCATACTAAATAACTAAATATACTTATTCGAGTATTAATATATTTTTATCAACTAATAAAAAATTACGTTACGAATATTTTATATTGACTATAGTTTTCATATTTGTTTTATTCTCATGTATTGTTCTCACATTCGTATTTTTAATTCTTTTTTATACAGAATTTTCAGCACTAATTCCACGTGAATTGGATTATTTAAAATTATAAATTTAAGAACTGATAAGTGATTACCTATGTTCTATAATTATAAATAAATATTGAATCATAAATGAATAGCTAATCTTACTTATGTCATATTTTCATACAATAATACTATGTATTGTTCGATAAAATAATGCAGAGTTCCTCAAATAATGTAAAATTAAATATAATAATATAGCGCAAAAAACCATAACAATAAAAAAAGCTGTATTTATGAATAGGAAATAATGAAATACAAATTTAATATACTCGTACATTTGAATAAACGCAAGTCACATTTTAATTAATATCATTAGGTACCTATACCTACCCAGCACCCGCTATTATTATACTTAATACTTAAAGTATTTTTCGTTACACAGTAGTTAAACAAATTTAAATTCTGATCTATAGACTATAAAATATTGTTTAGTTTAATTATATAAATTAATCAATTTTATAATGTAATACAGTTGTAAAATTTAATATTTATTATATACTTGAAAAACATTCAATTATTTATTTTACTATTTTTGAAGAAAATATACGACCTTATAATTTGTATTGTTTTTTTTTTTTTTTAATGTAATTAAACATTAAATATCCATTAATAAACAAAACTTACACATTTATTTTATATTTTCAATCATTATACCTAAGAATACATAACAAATAACAAATTATACTACTCAAAGTTATAACATACTCTTAATTAAAATAATGCACATAATCCATTAATTAATAAATACTCAATTGTCGTTGAACAAACAAAAATAAACAGGAAATAACTTTTCTAAACTATTTTTTTTTGTAAATTGTTTGTTTTTAATCTATAACATATATTACTTATACACAATTTATGAAGACTAATTATTATAGCAATCAAAAAAAATAAAATATATATTTTATTTTTATGCCTATCAACTATAATATTTATATTTATTTATTAATGATAATGTTTATTTCATAAATTAACTGATAAAATTAAAACAAAAATAGATATGGTTATGAATTAGTACTACAATATTTCCTTCTGTAATTAATTATAATACAAGTAAAATATATTATGTTAAAACTAAAAATTCCAGTACTCCATTTAAAATGAGATAGGTATCATAGTACCTATACCTAGTCTATATCAATAATCAAATTAAATAATAATTAATCTAACCTTGTTTTGACACATATAATTAATAGTTATGGTGTTTTGATATGATTAATTAAATACAAACCATTACATTTTTAAAATAAGTTGCTACGTAAAATTAACTAAATTATTATGTCTACCTACATACCTAAGTAAGTATCTATGTATAAGTATTATGCTAGGTACTGCGTGTAATGAATTATTTCAAATTACTTACCTTTGTATCCCAAGGATTTTTTCCAGTCATATTAATATAATGATCCTTTACATCTTTTGACAAACAATTTAAATTGTATTATTTATAACATAAATGTACCTACAAATAATACTATAGTAGGTTTATCATGTACTATTTAATTTACACAAGTTCAAAAAACTCATACACTTATGAAAACGTACAATAAACAAAAAGAAGAAGAACGATATGTTAATTTGTGTTCATAACCGGAAATAATAATTTTCGTAAAAACGTAAATATACTAAACAGTAAACACGCATTATAGTATTAAACTCTTTTAAGAAACGTCTTCGTGAAGAGACTGTTTGCACATGTACTAAAAGTACAGATAGTCGTCTTAGACTCAGCCGTATCCGTTTGTTAACGAAGTGGTCGGGGAGATCACTTTCTCCAACATTTCCCCCCGTTCCAGTTTTTTCTACAGTTCGACGTTACAAGTATACGTTTTATTTTAGAAATCCATTAGTTAAATAGCCCGACTTCAAATATACCTATATAAATTTATATTTTGTTAAGATTTCACAAAATTGTAAAATAATAATGTATCTTTAATTATAAACGCATTATAACTATAATAAAGATATAATATTATATTACTATATTTCATGTAGAAAACTTTTTAAAATCTTATTCAAATTCGTATATAGGGCATAATAGATAGGTTCTTATATACGTCTAGGTAAATAGGTACTATATATTTATCCGTGCAATATTATTTATAAATATATCACTGAATAGGGAAGCCTAAAAGTTAGAATAAAATGACAATTGACTATTTTAATATAAAATCATCTTTAAATTATAATTATTCATTACTTATTTTGAAATATCCGTACCCAGTGAATGTATCATTACAAAGTCCAAATTTATATTACTTAAAAATAAATAACTTGAAATTCTTAATAGGTAGTCAAAATAAATATAATATAATATAATTACATTTTCTTTATAAAAAAATATGTCTATATTAACTATGATTACTTTTAAATGATTAGGAATACAAATGTATTTTCCTTACCTACATGATAATTTTATGTTATATAAGAATTAATTATTAAATAGTGTGGTTTTAAAGTTTTATTTAACAAGTTCATAATTTAATATAATTAAAAACGAATACTTGCAGATACTTGAAATTTTTACCAAATGGTTATATCATCATTTTCTACGATTGGTAAAATTTTCAAAATATTTTGACTCTTTTTATACTCGTACAATTTATGGACATTAGGAATTTTTGTTTTTTTTTTTTAGTTTTTCTATAAATATCGACAAAAGTATACAATGGATCAAAATTCTTAAAAATATAATACCGAGCATCTCACAAAAATTATTTTTATATCTGTATGAAATGATTAGAAATATATAGACACAATTTTTTTAATGCATTTTAACTTCAGATTTTGAAGTTTTTTTTTAATTTAACATAGTAAAAATTACAAACTATGGGAACTTTGTATAGTAAAAAAATTTTAAAACCTTCTATTTTTATAGCAAAGGTTTTAACATTTCATAAATAGTTCATACTGGAACTAAAAAAACTAAAAAATATTCAAACACGATTATTTTTTGTAGACAATTAAAGAAGTTCAAATTTGTACGAAATCATGTATTTCAAAGATGAATAACCATCAAAAATATTATTTGAAGAGTCTGTGAATTTACAATTTATGTAGGTAAATTATATTATTATGAATTTTTCTACATGCAATGGCATTTTGACATGTTTATTTATTTTTATATATTATCTGTTTATATTATAAACCTATTCATTCTGTATTACAGTATTTACAGTAAAATTAAATTTTAATTTAAAAACAATATTATAATATGGTATATATAAATCTATATACAAGGTTCCTCATTGGTTATTCTTATATCATTAAAAAAATATCAAACATTATATTATTATAATCACAATAATTTTTTGTAAGTGCTTAAATTAAAAATTTTGATGAATTTTGTAAAACAGGACAGGTTAGGTTACTAGGTAAAACAGGTATCTAGGTGTTGAATATTTTTAAATTATCTTGTAGTAAGAAATTCATGAACATTTTTCTTTTTATATCTAAGATTTAAAAATGTCATACAAGATATCTCATAAATTTTTTTATCTATAAATGTCGATAAAAATGTTACTCGATTATAAAGTTTGAAAATTAAATACAAGATCTTGTATAAGTTTTTCTTAGAACTTAGAAATGTATCAAAATAATTGAAATATGTAGAAATGATTTATTTTTATTAGTATTTGAAGTTAAAATATACACAAAATTCATCAAAATCACGAAAATATGAAAATTTGAAAACTGGTTTGCAATTATAAATGTACAAAATGTGCAATTTTAAAGTTAAGGCTTGAAATTTTTATTAAAATGTCCTCATAAATAGAAAATACTAAAACCAAAAAATCAAAAATATATAACAATAGTACTCATCCGACGTCTACCACAGTAACCTTTTCTATATCTATACCTATTGGGCTATACTTCCTGTACAGTAAAGTGATAGAAATCCACTTTTTTTGAAAATTAAATAAATTTTCAAAAAGAAAGTAAAATTATTTTCTCTATAGTTTAATTTTATATATTGAATAGATTTAAAATGTTTGTTATTATAAGTATTTTTAATTTAACAACATAATAATATGATATATTAATTTGTGATTTATTGATTTCATTAGGATTTTATTTTAAACTGAATAAAACAATAAAATAAACAAATTTATTTGAGTGTTATTTTGAATTATAAAAATTACTTTGTAAAATTAACTTTTACATTTCAGAGAATATTAGAGGCTTTATTAACCATCTTTTAATACAAAAAAATACACTTAAATTACTTGAATGTTTTGGAAATTTATCATTAGAAGTATTCCCTTGTATATTTACATAAATAAAAATATACTAGACCATTTCTGTAACTAATTGTTTAACTAAGATAGCAGTTTTGAAATTAAGTGTAAATAAATATAAACCAATATAGAACTAATTAAATACAGGAAAACTTGAATGAACAAATGGTTTTATATTCAAAGAATGATTTGCTTAAATTACTAGATATAAATGAAAAATGTTGAAAGTTAGCATCAGATAAAGCTAGAAAAAATTTTTGCTTAAAAAATTATTTTGTTTTTTTTCATATATACTACTAATTATGTATTTTAAATAATTTATAATTATATATTCAGTTTGTGATAAATATTCGATTTTTTTTACAAGCGCTGTGACTTATTTATTTTAAAATAGTAAAAAGAAAAAATATTGTAAGAATTCGCATTAATTTATATTTTTTGCGAGCGGCTTTGTAGAGCGTCTAAAATGTTTTATTAAAGGAGTCCATTTGAAATTACAGGGTCCAATAGGTTTTTATTCAACCTTAAATAGTTATATCTTATATTAAAAGTTAAATCACACATTTTTAGAAAAAAAACCTAACTATAGAGTATAGAATATATTTTCGAAAATTAGATCATGAAATAGTAGATACTTATAGATTTATAAAAAAATTAATAACATTGTTTATATTCTTTGATTTTAATTTGTATTTCAACGATCCGTTATAGTATTACTTACAGGTGTACAATTTTATATAAATAAACCGCAGATATAAAATATCAAAATAACTTTGATCACGAACTCATTACATCTACGTGCCACCTTTGTGGTTTGTGGGTAGAACATGATATACCTAGCTTTAATGCGGTTTTTATTGTCAATTATTATAATAATTTGGATCACCTCCAAAATACATGTCAATAGTGTTAATTACTATAAAAAATTATTATAATAAAGAAATATGAAACATTTGTTACGTTTTCATCTACGTTGGTTGAAGTTACTGTAGTGTAAACTGTATATAGGTAGTATGGGTATTAGGTAGGTAGTGACTTGATACGAATTACGAACCACTCTTACAGGTACCGTAAACCAAATGAAACGAAACACTAAGTAATTATATATACTTACATGTTTATACATTATTTATAATTATGGATAGTCAGTCCATAATCCAGCCTTTGGATATCAATCTTGGCATCTAGCTAAGACAAACACTTAATCTGATTTAATCGTACCTATCAATAGACAATAGGTTTATTCTATACCAGCATTTTTCTATGACTAACCAATGTAAAAATTTTAAGGCTTTTTATTTTCTTAAAAATATTTGATGGCTAATAAATATTTTATTGACGTCAGCCATGGCAACGCCGTCTTGTACTAAACTATATTTTCGGCTTTGAGAGTGCGTTAAGTGCTGCGCAATACAACGGCATTCAGCTGGTGAAAAACCTTATATACTACGTATATTAGCGAACCTTATTACTCACTGTCCAACAAAATGTGTTGCCTATTTTCTGAGGGTTGGAAAATCAAGTCCACAAAAGAAATTTCTATTACATTTTATTTTTTTTTTACCAGCATGCATTTTAAAATTATTATCTACATTAAACTAATACACATTAATAATTATTTATTATTTAGATTGGTAAAAACAAAAACAATTTTGATTTAAGATTAAAATACAATACTATACAAGTGGGTTAGGGTTAGAACCCAGAATCTTCCCTTCCAATTTGTCACACACTACCAGTATATAATAACATTAATAACTAATTAACAAATATACAAATTTTTTTGGTACCTAATGATTGAGTTGAAAAATTAAATATTCCATAAAAAGTTAATTAATTCTACGTAGTATCTTCTTCTCCAAAACGTTAAATAGATGCTTGAAATGATCAAATAAATTTATCTTTTAAAAATTAATGCATTTATCCAAATAAATTTTTTCTTCTTATTCATTTAATCGTTCTTCAGGAGCCATTGTGGCTCTAACATAATCCGTCCACAATTCCCTACCTTAAATGTACTCTCCCAGGTCTGCCTTTTGGATTTAGATTCCAATTGTTACCTTTATTTTTCTGTATTTTATCTCTGCATTGCATTACATAACATTAAATTTTTCGGTTTTTTTTTGCATAGTTTGTAATCCATGGTGGTATCTCAGTTTACTCTCTCAATTCTATCACACACTTTTATTCTCTGTTTCTTAACATATTGAAGATAGAACCATATACTTTACTGATTATCTTGTATTCAAATATTATCAATCTACAATATGTATACAATTTTTTTTATTTTGTTTACTTCCAAAGCAACTTTGATTTAAAATATTTTAACAGGACATAATATGTTGTTTTGCTTTCTGTATTTTACTATTAGTTTTTATATTTCAACCTCTTCATTGGTTTAAATCACTCTAGGGCTTATAAATTTGTCTACTTTTTTAAAGGT